TTCGAAAGGGGCCACTGCATTAAAAGTTTTTACTTCAAATCCTTCTTTTTGTACACAACCGTGAAGCCCCTGAACGTCGCAGTCTCAAACTGTTATTATTTCATGGACATTCATGACCCTCACTCTGTCTGTCTCTTTCTACATTCACGGGTGGCAGATGGCAGAAAACGGGTCTGCGGCGTTCCAGGCGTCGTAGCTCCGGTTTGAATGATGTTTCACACAAAACGCGGGCATCATTATTTGCAGTAGACCATAGGCTTTCAAAAATTGAGAGGGTGAGATTTTTAAGCACATTGGCTTCAGAGGAGATAGCTTCGCCAGCCAGCGCGGCGCACATTTCAACGTACTTAGTTGCTACTCCAGTACAGTCATACTTACATGCTGTCATCGTGAGACAAATAATCAGCCTACAAATTGGTTTCCCGTGTCCGAAAGCGGGGTCTAGGGTCTTTAAATCTTCTTCTCCAGGGCGCAGTGAGAAGGGGTGGATCAACCCGCCGCCATTCATATTCAAGTCGAAGAGAACGGGGGATTACCACGGATTACCACGAGGAAATGAACGCTGATGTTTTCGAGGAGTGGTTCGAGAGAGTATTCCTACTGACCCTGCCTGCTAACTCAGTGATCGTGATGGACAACGCGCCGTATCACTCGCGGCAGAAAGACAAGGCGCCAACGAACAGAACGACAAAGCCCTTGATCATCGAATGGCTGAAGCGAAAGAACGTAACGCCCCGGCCCGGCCTACTGAAGCCGGAATAAAGCATTCCGGTAAAGCTGAAATGCAGAAGAATGCAGGGAAGAAGAAAACGGTAGTTACAATGTTACAGCAAAGCGAGTTCAGTTTTCTTGTTCCCTGCATTCTTCTGCATTTCAGCTTTACCGGAATGCTTTATTATTGGAGCTAGTCAGACTGAACAAACCGCAGTATCCAGATTACTCGGTGGACAAAATGGCCAAGGACGCAGGACACAGGGTGGTGCGACTACTGCCCTATCATTGCCATTTCAATCCGATCGAGTTCGCCTGGGCGCAAGTGAAGCGTTTCTTGAGGGAGAACAATACACGAAGAACTGCCTCATCAGTGCAGGAATTATTTGAGGGGGGCATCGCGACCGTCAATGCAGACCAATGGAAGAAATTGGTAGAATCTGTCAAAAAAAGACGTTCTGAAGACATGGGAGGAAGAGGGACTTCTCGACACAGCAGTAGAAATTTTAAAACATCACTCGGAGATGAATCGGATTCGGACGACGAGGAGAATGACAACTCAGATCTGGACGGGGAACTAGAAGCGGAACTGGACGCACACCTGCATGGGGACCTGGACGGAGACCAGGACGGGGACCTGGGCGGTGACGACAAACTGGTAATACAGCCACTCCCTGACGATGGTTACGATGTAAGTCCAAATAAACTAATAACATTATCACTGCATTTTTTCAGGCGTCGATTTTGAGACTGTAGCACATCTTTTCTTGCAGGGGCAAGCAAACTTCAACGGTGCAGATGATCACCCAGCTCTTCTTTGGCTGAGCGATAGCGAAGCCTATTACTCCAGTGATGATCAAAAAGTTTCGTGTCTGTACGATAACTCGAGAACGGTTTGAGCTAGGTACCTGAAATTTTTAGCGTAGCTTTGAAGCATGAAAAGCAAGAACTGTATTGATTTTGAGCCCTCTAGCTGAAAAGGTGATCGGTCAAAAAAATCAGCGACGAAAAACCCAATATATTACTTTTATTTTTTTATTTGATTTTACATCTTGCGAAGACGTAAGTCGTCAAAGCAGAATCCAAAATTTTGTCCGTTTGGCTCTATCTCTAACCGATAAGTAGCCAGACGGCGATTTCCGCACGAAAATGACTCCAAACCATTTTAATGTTGTTTCTCAGATATGTACTCTGGTGGGGCAACTCGTCAAAATAAAATCCTGGGGGTTTAATTTGTGTCCTTTGGAGCCGAAGGCCTATCTACGACTCTGCATTTTGCCCGACTCGTGTGTCAGTGCCGCAGGCCTAGATAGATGTATGCCAGGCGCATCGCAGCGTAACAGTGCTTCCCGAGATATCGCGAAGCCTGTTACGCGAGACGTGGTCTGGCGTACATCTACCTAGTTTAAAGATGTGTACGTGTGTACGAGATTTGTGAAATTAAAGCGTCCCGAGAACGCCCCATTGAAAAATTATGCAGGCGATTCGAATCATCTGTTTTCACAATCCATTTCTGGACGGATTTTTTTTTCTTTTTCTCTTTTTCTCTGGTCCCAACCCACTGCCCTTTGCTCCTTATGGGCCTGTGCGAGTAGCCATCCGCCCGCACGCGTGAATGCGACATGAACGAACACGTCCGCCTCCGAGCCCTAAGCCGTCGGCGGGCGGGGTCAAGGTCACGGTCCTGCTTGCCAGGGCAAGTCCGCAACTCAGGACGTGTGCCCTTGCTATCTTAAAAGGAGGTCTCCGGGGTATATGTTGTGTGTGTGCTGTTCTGTATCGAGCTGGACGTGAAGAAGTAAAATGGATAAACACGTGTCCGTCAGTGACAATTATGGTGTTTTTTTTTCTATTTGTGGCGAATCCTACCGGGCTACATTTTCGACTTCCGTTATCCTGTTCTCTGCATACTTCTGCATTTCAGCTGTACTGGACCGCCATAATGTAGCTAGTTTTTAACTTTCATTGAATAAAGTCCACTTTCTACTCAAAAAAACGATTTTCTATGTAGCACGTTTGTACGTGAAGACATTTACGTTGACGTCACGTTAAATCAGGGGTCTGTAACTTATCATAACACGAACGAATGTCAGTTAGTCAACGTAACAAAACTCATGTCCAATAAAGCATGCCGGTAAAGCTGAAATGCAGAAGAATGCAGGTCACAAGAAAACGGAAGTCACCATGTTAAAGCATAGGGTCTTTCGTTTTCTTCTTCCTTGGATTATTTTGCATTGTAGCTTGCCGGAATGCTTTATTGAAAGTTTAAGTTATCAATTTTGAAAGATGTCCGATACATACTGTGGAATAAAGTTGAACAAGACGATCAACGAACTTAGTTCCAAGGGACTACATCAACAGTTACAAGTTGCAGCTTGAACCCTTAAAATAACGGTAGAGGCAGTTAAGTTCTAAGTTACGGAGGCCTCATTGAATCAACGTGATCAACACGTCTATAGATGGATGAGATAGTAAAATTCAAATTCACGTGAGTTTCTCACGTGTTTTCCACGAAAAATTCTCAGTCTTAACAAGAAAAAAGTTCCCAAGTCAGAGCATCGCGATTTTCGTTTTCTCCTTCCCCGCTTGCCTTTTCATTTTAGCTTAACAATCAGGAGTTAACGCATGACAAGACAATCAAGACATGTCGGGGACCCGACGGGGACCACTTCGACCAAAAATCGAACGGCCCGTTCATCGAGCATGAAGTTTGAATCGCTGCCCTGGGCAAGAGTGGAGGGACACAGTCAGCGTGTCCTAACAAAAACGTTAACAATTCTTGTTAACCTTAAACGGACCCGTAGTTAAGAAAATTTTCCTATTGTACAGTTTCGAGCAATATTTTATGAATTAAAGAAAAATGACTACAAGGCTGTTTTTGTTTATATATCGTTGTTGTTGTTGTGACGTAGAATTTATGAACATATTACTGCAAGTAGGTTTGTGAGAAAATGGGCTATATATATGAGAGCTCTGCAGTGAGCGGGCATGCGAAAGCGGGCGTCCGAAAGCGATAGTGCGAGTGAGAAGCTCGCGCGGCGCCAGCTCCCTCTCACTCCAATCCGCTTTTGGATGGACGTCATGTAGGTATCCGATGCCTGCTCGCTGTATTGTTCTTGTCCTTAATGTATCTTTTTGCGTGATATTTTTGTGAATTAGCCTATTAATCATTGCTTTTATAATTGAATACAATTTTTGGCGTGCGCGCTGGGCAGCGCCCGCGTGGAGCGGACTACCGAGCGCACACGCTAAAAAGAATGTCTTGAAATCCCAGGAAACTTCTGGGATTTCAAGGTTGGGTGGATAATTTCAAGATTGGCCCTTGAAATCCCAGACTCTGTCTTGAAACCCGTAGCTTCCAAGGGAAATCCTTGGAATTTTCGTCTGGTATTCAAGGGTTTTCCTTGAAGTATCCTGATCGTGCTTCAAGGAAAACCCTTGAATACCAAACAAAAATTCCAAGGATTTTCCTTGAAAGCTACGGGTTTCAAGGCAGAGTCTTGGATTTCAAGGGCCAATCTTGAAATTATCCACCCGACCTTGAAATCCCAGAAATTTCCTGGGATTTCAAGACATTCTTTTTACCGTGCAAGGTGTTCATTGTTGGGCTGTTACCCAGACGCAGCTCAAAATGCAACAGGTGGTGTTGCACGTTACACGTTACACAAGAGTAGTTCAGCAGCGCGCTGAATACACGAAATCCTTTCTTCAAAACGGGATTAGTAGGTTCGGTGAGCCCTTTCCCTTTGTATGGTACGGTTTCAAAAGGTACTGGAAGACATTCAGGCCCATCTTTGCACACGGAGAGAATCGTACCTTTCCAAAAAATTTGAACATTCTTTTGAAAAAGTTTGGTGAAACAGGCGGATGCAGGGTAATAAACTCTGATTTTAAACCGCGTTTCACAGACTTTTGTGTGTTTGGCGTCGTTCAGGATGTGCGAAGTGAAGTGGTTAATAGGGAATCGTACAACGGTAGCCTTAGCAAGAATCCCGGGTGGAAGGATCTTCAGTTAGACTAAAGTCAAGTAACACGAGGGAAAATGCTATTAAACTAAATAAATCTATAGTTTAACTACAAAAAAAAGTACTGATTTTTCGAGCTCTGCAGTTAAAACTATAGTTTTCTACATTTTAACTGCACTTTTTCTTTAGTATATATGCCATAGCTGGAACACTATAGTTTAAACTCCAGTTTAACTGAGGATCCTTCCACCCGGGCTTGTAACTATCATAGCAAATCGACTGTCAGTGTATGCGGCACGTTGTTGAACTCTGCCATGTACTCGCCGGATGAACACTGGCGATATCAGTGCACCCACGGCGGCGTGCTGTTGTGCGCCGTCGCGTCTTCCTCCAAGTGGGTTGCGGCGTGGTGTGCTGCTAGCTGATGTGCTCTGCCCTCATGCCATGTGCTGCCGCCGTCCGCGTGCGCGCATTCATAAATAAGGGGTCGGCGGCCAGAGACAAGCGAGAAAGGAAGTGCGGGTCCATGCGGCGCGGGCACGCACGGCGCACGGCACCGCGGGGCTCATCACTCATTCACGGGTCTCGCGCGACGCCCTGGAGCCTGGTGGGGGTGCGGCAGCGCGGCAGCCCGGTCACCCTTCGATGCGCTCGGAACGATGGCAAAGGGACGGGTGATGACGCGCGCACGGAGGTGTAGCGTTCATGCGCCCTCAAGGTAGGAGGGTCAGGGTTCTCAGTAGCTTGCATCTGGCATCTAAGAGTGGGAATTTATGGGACCAACGCGGAAAGAAATAGAAATAGTCGCAAGCGCGGGCATAAGTAGTGCGTGAATACATGGGTTCGAAATTTCCCAAGGTGAATTGATTGGGTTCAATATTCCCTTCTTAAGTAAAACATTTACATTTTTTAGCCCGCCCTTTTGCTTTTAAAAAAGCATTCAAGCGGGCTTATGCAACCGCTCTCGTGTCCGTCCGTCTGTCCGTCCGTCGTCCGTGTAAGAGGAAGGAGATGAGGTAGAGGTCTGCAAATTTCAGGGTATCTTACAAGGGAAGGTTTTTAGGTGGTACACCAATTTCGCTGGGCGCGATACATATTGCAGGGGACATATGTAGATTAAGATTGGCACCAGTTTTAGCTGCCCATACTATGTTTTTCGTTTGTTTTGGACAATTTTTAGTAAGAAAACATCATAAAAGCAGCAAAAATGTGATCTTCAAATGCCTATATCTCCGAAACCGTTTAAGCTACACCGCCCAGATTTTGCACAGAGGTAGGCTGCATAGATACCTTAATCGTCTAAAAATATGAGAAGAGTCGAAAAAAATTGTTGAAATGGTCCGAAATCCAAGTCGAAATCCGAGTAAGGAAGGTGCACATAGTTTGTGACATTTTCTTCGATGCTTTTCGAAAAAAATTATGCTGCACGATAATTTAGTTACCAATTCGACCTACCTCTGTGTAAAATCTGGGCGGTCTAGCTCAAACGGTTCCGGAGATATAGGCATTTGAAGATCACATTTTTGCTGCTTTTATGATGTTTTCTTACTAAAAATTGTCCAAAACAAACGAAAAACATAGTATGGGCAGCTAAAACTGGTGCCAATCTTAATCTACATATGTCCCCTGCAATATGTATCGCGCCCAGCGAAATTGGTGTGTACCACCTAAAAACCTTCCCTTGTTAGGGGTCACTCCTGGACAATAACGAAACGCCTGGGGCAAACCCTGGCAACGACCCCTAATGGGGTGAAGGGGGTAACAAAGAAATAGGGTTTGGTCCAAAGAGTAGAAAATCATTTTTTAGGCCCCCCAAGGGGGCCTTTCTGCTCGCGTGCGAGTGCCTTTTTCTCTTTCTTACTTATTTTGTGGCTACAGCTACTTCTGTAATACAGATTTTGATAAAATTTTAACAAGAAATCAATCCAAAAATTAGAATTCATTTGACTATAGCCTGATTAAAATCCTTCCGGCCAATTTTGAGAAATATTAAATTTAACATCAAATTCACCCCAAAATCGGCAAAAAGCTGCCAAGCCAACAATGATTCGCACTTCTATCATTCTTTCTGTCGGTCCCTGCGGCTTACCTTTTAACTTTACTGTAAAACATATGAGAAAATTAAGCTTCCGAACGATTTGTTCAAAATTTTCGTGCGCTGTTCCAGTCAAGAACGACAGCAAGCTGAATAATATGCGACATTTACGCTTATTCTTCGTGTCTTGTTTTAAATTTCTAATGCAGTTAGTGTTGATTGAAATTGAAACATGGTAATGTAAGCGAGCCGATTGTGCACCGTTCCTTAAGCTACCGAATAAGCTTTTAATCAATGCCATAAGATACTGCAATCACAACTTCTACCGATTTAAAATCAAAGCTGCACCGTTTGTTTAGAAATGGGCGTGGCTACGACAATCCTGGGTAGAAAGGAGGCGTGGCTTCTGACAATGGTACCAACCTTTGCAAACGAGCTCGCTTCATGTTTTTGGATAAATTGAGTGATGTACTCTCCTCACTTTTATGTTCAACCCACGTCTAATAACCCCTTCTTTAGCGATTTCGCGTGCACTTGAGAGGTGGTTAAATGACATGTGTTTGAATAATTGTAGAGTATTAAATAGTACTAGCGGCACAACGCCGATATCAAAAATAACCTGCAAATTGTGATACCAGCAAGCCACTTTGCACACTTGTTCTTAACACCCAAATGGTCGATTTGGCCCGCCGTACCTATCTGAAA